AAGTGAGTAAAGGCTATCAGTCAGTGAGTACCCACAATGGGCTGATATTTTTTAACAAATAGAATTTTCTCATTACAGGTTATTTACAGGTACATGATACAAAATTTCTTTGTAAAATGTTTTTCATTATTCCTTCATCTTCTGATGGGTATATAAAACATGATTTTACTGCTTCGTTGTCCCTTGATAGATGATATTTCATTGCTATATCATCTCATGAGAATTAGGCTAAAAAATTTGAATCCCGTTCATTTATTAATTACAATGTACATCATGATTACTCTATTTAATGTTGGCAATGATAAACTACACATAGTAAGACAATTTATCTTACGCCATATGCAAGTATTCGAAAATCACGTTATTCATGGGATCCATATATTTGCATTAACTGTGGTTTTAGCTATCTGTGGTACTTCTGGGGAGGAGGGGTTGGGGGGGCTACCCTATATTCAGATTTTCCAAGCTGGTCAACACCAATAAACATTTCTTCAACCTTTGACAGCAGTTCAGTACTATAAGATTATCTTCCCTTCCATGTTTAACAACATCTACATCCATCTACTGAGGACATTTACATGGACAGATGCAGTAGCAGGGCCTCCTGCACCATGAAGGACCCCACCCACCCTGCATATGGACTGTTTGCCCCCCTCCTCTCAGGCAGAAGGCTGTGAAGCATCAAAGCCAGAACATCAAGGCTTAGAGACAGTTTCTTCCCGGAGGCTGTGAGGATAATAAACTCCGAACCTAAATGAATGACCTCACAGACTCTTCTTTATGCTGCTTTATGTTTAACAATGCTGCTCTGTGTTTAAGTACGTAACTTCTCTAATTTACTGATAGGTCTTAGTTAATATCATTTTAGACAGATTGGTATTTCGTTTATTTATTTATTTACAACTATTATTATTTTATTAAGTTATTGAGTTTCTATTTTGAATTACTGGTAATGACTGTGCGCTTCTGCACGTGAGTCACAAAATTTTGTTCTCTTCATGTGACAACATGTCAAGAATGACAATAAACTGAACCTTGAACCTTGAATGTACTGACATGTTGCTGTTTGCTGGAGTCATAATAAGGTCTCTTCCTCTACCTCAACAGACTTACAGGGAAGGAGGAAGAGCACAAGGGCCACAGATTTGCTACAGACACAATTATGTATAATAATCTGAGGGAAGATGGTCAGACTGATGTAGAGAAACAGGCCCCAGGACAGCAGCCAGAGGGGCAGATGTATCTTGGGCACCTACCTGGTCTGGCATAGAAGCTTGGCGTCTCATACAACTGAAAAAGGNTTCACAGCTGATTTTATCTATAATTTACTTATTGTAGTTCAACATAATGATTTTTGTCCATGATCTTCTCCGTAGATGAATATTTGCTTATATACATGTTCAGCTGATTCTAGAAATGTTTGCCAGCTATGCAGCAAAGTCCCTCAAATCTTCAGATAAAGTTAATTGTAAAAGATCACCAATAATCTGATGACCACTAAACACAGCTAACTTGTTGGTCCAACAGGATTTAGCTGATTTGGAACTGTAAGCAAAAGCTATAGAATTAAACTCTTTATATCCTTCAAACTGCTGTGTTGTCTTCTTTTCTTTGTTCCTTGGGATCATCAGATGATGATGCCTCTATCTTGTCTCTGTCATGTGATCAATACAAAAATAATAATGTCAGCTGATAAATTTCATATTTTAATGTTCCACTAGAAAGTCCATTGTGAAAATGGTATTTGCTTTTCATTTTACAATAAAAACTGGAAGTAACCAAGAAAGTGTTTAGAAAAACCGAGGATGAAATTTACAGTCCCCTGGTATAGAAATCAAACAGGGTTTCAAACACCAGCCCCTTATCCAAGCCTACAGAGGACTCATGGAGAGCGTCCTCACCATTGGCATAACTCTCTGGCTTACGAAGCCCACCCAGGAATAGAGGAAATCTCTCCAACAAATAATTAAGACCACAGAGGAAATCACTGGCTCTGATCCCCGCCATATGGTATGTGAAGGTAGTGGTGAATGTAAACATCAGTGAAGGTAATTTCTGAGCTGGTATGCAGTGAAATAATGTGAACCATGGAAAAATATTGATGCTCTGTGTGTGGAGGTGTATTTGCCACATTGTGAGGACCAAATGTCTCCACAATGAGGCAAAACCTGTTTCACCTTTTGGGGACATTTTTCAGGTCCCCACAAAAATCTGTCGATGCAGTCAAAAAACTAAAAATGCCAAAGTCTCACATTCTGTTTGGTTGGTTAGGGTTAGGGTTAGGGCTGGGTAGGGGTTACGGTCGTCATGTTGGGATTACAGTTATCGCCATAGAAATGAATGGAGAGGCCCCACAAAGATATAATTACAAACCTGTGTGTGTTTGTGCGCGAGGGGAGGGGGGTCGTGGGTGATGAATTATTTGTATAATTTATCCTGATATTTTAAATTAAAATATTGCATTATTGTTTTTAGTCATCGCCCAGCCCTAGTATGATCTTGTTTTCGTACCTCCTCTTGAGGTACCAGTTATAGGCATCGGCAAATTATCATAAGGATGAGTATGGTTTTTTAAATGCATAGTACATAACAGGTAGTTCATCGAAAGCCTAAAGGCAAAGCACCAAGTTAGACTCTAACTACACAACATACCCTAAATACCCAGTATTCACTACCTATAACGTCCCGCTTTGACAAGCTGCTAAGATGTACGGCTGCTTTGGTTAAGCGTCTGCAGGCAAGAAAGTCACCAAGGTCATCAGGTGCCCCCCCGCAAAACTGGTGCTTCCTTAAGGCCCACTACACCGAGAAGGTATCCACAGTGTGTCTGACGTCATAGACNACCTACCTGGTCTGGCATAGAAGCTTGGCGTCTCATACAACTGAAAAAGGGTTTTCTTATTCTAAGGAAAAGATAAAACAGTCATTACAGGAGAGCAATGTCAGTGTTTCTTATGTCATTGTTTGACATCCAATTTCACCTTAAATTGAAGTAATTCCATCATAATGTTTAATGTAGATTCAGCTTGTTAGTGAAGGTGGAATGAAACGCCTGCAATATCAAATACAATATAATCACCGTAATTAAACAAAACCCCATAATATGGCACCCTGTAAGTCTGCCAAAAATGCAGCATGTTAACACATGAGGAGAGGATGCAGTGGATGTCATGGATACATCTGCAGAGAGACACTGTGGTTACTGCCCATGTAAAGCAGACTGTAGATGTTCCTCTTCAATTCCTGTAACTTCATGCTAGGGCTGCACAATATCACACTGTGATATAATTGCAATCACATGGTGCACGTGGAATAATCACCATTCATACAGATTACTAACTTCTGGGCCTCAAAATACACCTCTCAGTATTTCTGTTGTACTACTAACTTACTTACCAAGTTGTGGGCGTAAGTAAACGAGTGTGTAGTACTGAAAAGCTGGTGGCTGGACAAATGTTTACGTCAGTCATCTGAAGCCCTGCTGATTATTGTGCATGCGCCATGTAATCACAATGTGACATCATACAGCCCCAGCTCTGGTTAAGTGTCTGCAGGCAGGAAAATCACCAAGGTCATCAGGTGCCCCCCCGCAAAACTGGTGCTTCCTTAAGGCCCACTACACCGAGAAGGTATCCACAGTGTGTCTGACGTCATAGACACCCCCCCTCCTGACGTCATAGACACCCCCCCTCCTGACGTCATAGACACCCCCCCTCCTGATGGCAGAGACTCATCCCTCTGAAATAGTAACATCACTGTAATAATGTAACAAACCAGACCGACACCTGCCTGCCCAAACCCGACTAAACCACACTGACAGGCACCAGCCTGAGCCTCACACTTTCAGATCCTTCCCTCCATAAAACACGCGGCCAGCAGTAAGAAGGAGAGAAACGGCGGGAAATGCTCACCTACCCGTCCTTCCCCACAGCCGATCCCGCCGCTTACGCCACACTGACCCCCATAAACCCGCCACAGCCAAAGACTGGCTTACCGCTCAGCATTAACCAGCATATTAACCAGCATATTAACCAGCATATTAACCAGCATATTAACCAGCTGCTTTCATTTACCCAGAATTCTAACTCAAGCCGAAAGAAAAAGGGGCCAAAACCCAAAGCAAAGTCTTCTGTGACATATCTAACTACACTACCCATGAACTACCTGCTACGTTAGAAGTAAATGATAATAACAATAATGATAATACGATTGCTAAAATAAATTACATTGTTAAAACAGATTGATAATTGTACACCAATAACCTGCCAAATCATATGAAAACACATTGACTCAAAATGACGACTGATCTCCATGAAACACATAAAACAGGGAGGGAGGAAAAAGAGGAAAAAGCCCAGCAAACACTCACCTCACCGTCTGTCCCCCCCCCCTGCCTGTCCTGTCCCCTGAGCCACATTCACTGACTCGTTTCCTCCGCACCATTAACCAGCATTTTAGCCACCTGTTTTACCTGATTAGTGCAGAAGCCAAACTCTTTGACATCACTGAGTTGACAGGAAGCCCCCCCCCCAACATGACATGTCCATCCTGCCAAAGCTGCAGATCGGGATTTTCCCCTCATATGCTTCCTCTATTGATCCTTCCCATCTCACTGTTAATTCTATAAAATAAACTATACGTTTGACTTCTGACCACAAACCACATCAGATCGCAAATTACTTACAGCTATTTCTCTTGGAACCACCAGCCCAGTACTGAGGCCTGCAGAGAGTTTCCAGTCGCTCACCACACTAAGCTGACCCCCCCACCTGCTTATACAGGCCTGCAAGCCTGCTGTTCCCTCCTCCCTTAACAGAAGGCTGTCTGATAACTTTTACCTCCTTCTGAGCATTAACAGCCTTTCCTTAACAGCCTCTAACTCAGAGGCAAAACACACCAAACCCTTATTGTGCCTCCATGTGTATCTGCCTTGACTCTGACTGACAGCACATCCTGATAGGATCTGCCACAGCCATACAAGTACATGGGGTATGTTTGACCCCGCAGTAAATGATGATAAACACAAACCCTATATACAGACGTACAGGTCTGACAAACTATCAATGATACATGAACCAAGGAAGAGAGCAGGCCAGCCTGGTCCCAGCTGACCACAGGGGAGGCTGACGGGGGAGGGGGGGACTTACGCTGCTCCTCCATTGCAGTTCTTATTCAGCCCATCTGACCAAGAGCAGCTCACCACTGCAGGGACACAAAGAGAGGTTCAAACTGCTAGGTGACAGAAACAGACCTGGCCCTGGAGCAAAGAACGTGTGACCAAAGGTACATTAATCCTCCTCCATCATGAATCCATCCAGAAGAGTGGAAACGGAAGTGTGGTCCTGTACTCACTCTGGCAGGACATGCCGTCCTTGTAGTGGCATATGTGCTTCAGGATCTTATTCTTGGTTTGGTCATGGTACTCAGAGACTTCATTGAGGAATTTCAACTGCTCCTCCGTCATCTTGGGCTTCGCCGGGTCAGTCACGGGGCCCTAGAGGTGGTGGGGGGGGGCAGAACAACAACCTCATCAGCAGGGGTCACTGTATGTTTGTTACAGTCACCAAAACAGCCTTCATGCTCTCTATGCTGTGCATTCTGGTCTTGGGCCTGTAAACCTCAGCTGTGTTTCTCCATCATAATCAGACCGGTTTCTGTGCGGCTGGAAAAGCTCGATATCTGAAGCGCCACTCAAAGCCCTTTCCCTCGAGTCCCATCTGAACGTGGTCTGGGGCCCCTGCTGGTTTGGGGGGGCAGCTCTCACCAGGTTTGCCACCTTGGCGGCACCCAGGAGGTCAGCTGGGAGGGGGGACAGGCTGTTAGGGAGGGGGGACTTGTCTGGAGCTGGGTGCCAAACCCTCCCACACCAGTGACCCCTGTAGCCCAAGCTGCTGTCCTGTGCCCTGTCCATAGGGCAGCCAGAAGGGGGCACTGTTCCCTCCAAGGCCCATCTGATGCGGTGGCAATGCTTTACTTTAGGGAGTCACCAGGACACTTTCCAGTGTAATATAAACGGTAGAAGGAAAAACCTGACAATCTGCCCAACTGGCAGTAACCGTAGTGCCGAGTTGAACAGATAATGTCCCAAAGTGACCTATCAGCACCACAGCCTGTGAATAACCCTACAGATGAGGGTGTGAAGGCAGGTCCAAGCCAGGACACACTGGCTGGCATCAGAAGCGGAAGCGACGTGAGCTTGAATGCACACAGTCAGCAGGAATGGTCCAAAATAAATATACTACAACAGTCACTGCAGCAGTAATCACTGCAAAATGGATGCATCGGATGCCAAGGTAACACATAGGAGGGCCCCCTACCAGGGAGGGGTTCCACCACAATAAAATGTACAGGGTGGATGTATAATGTTTCCCAAGCATTTACATTATTATGTTTCAGATTCAGGGGTCCCACACAGTGACCAGGGGAGGAATTCTGAGTCTGCTGTGTTTGTCTCCCAATGCAGCCGGCTGCGCATACACAAGACCCACACCTCCGTCCTGCAGCCTCAGAGTGACGGCCTGGTGGAGAGGTTTCACACAGACCCTGGAACAGCAGCTGCCGTCCTTGTGGCAGAGCATCAGAGTGACTGGGACACACAGCTGCCCCTAGTGCTCATGGCCTGTCACTCCTCAGGGCAGGACTCCACATCCTGCACCCCGCTCTCTTCATGTTGGGGAGAGAGCTCCACACCCCAGCTGAGTTGGCCTTTGGTTGGCCCCCCCAACTGCATGACTGAATCTCCTGGGCTGGAGTATGTGAGGAAGCTGCAGGACCGCCTGAAGGCAGTGCACGCATTCACCCGGGACCAACAGCACAGGGCAGGAGCCAAGCTCCGGGGCCCATGCTTTCCTCTCCCCATTCCCCTGCCCCCAGGACCCCCGTTCCCCAAAAGGGGTTGTTTGGTTTTGACAGGGTTCAGGGTTGATGATGCACATGCCAGAGGGTACTGCTGGACCCCCGTATCCACGGTATCAGTATCCATGGTTTACTGCAGTCCAAAAAAAAACATTTAATAAGTTTCAAACCACGGCC